GGCAACCGAGGTCTGTAAGAAAAACCCGCAGCCTCCACTGGCTGATCCAGACTTTGGCGGGAGGGACCTGGGGTCCCTGCTGGGGACAGGGCATGTGGCTGGGGAGGCCACTGACCCCAGGCTGCTGGCAGGGTGGTGGGTGAGCCCAGAGTGACGCCAGCATCCCCCTGTAGCCCCATGCCTCAGTTTCCCTAGCTATAAAATGCGGCTGCCGGTCCCGTGTCCCAAGAGCACGAGGGCTCCCATTGCCCCCCGGCACAGGCACCGGCCCATCCCGACTGCAGTGCTGGGTCCCCAGGAGCTTCACCTTGAGTCGCAGCAGCTGGGTCACCGCCAGCAGTGCCGGGCAGATGGGACACGTCCTTGCTGTGCCTTCTGTGACAGTGCCACCAGAGAGGAAAGGACGATGAGCATCTCCGAGGGCTGTTCTGCCTCAGCATGGCACAGCCACCCTGTCCCCAGCATACCCTCCCTGTCCCCCAGCATGGCACAGCCACCCTCTGCCCAGCACTGCCACCAGCCCCGCTCCAGCCTTGCCTGTCCTTCAGGGTGGTGGGTGCCCCGTGGGACTCACCCTAGCAGCCAGCCATTGGTGCCGCACTGTGACAGCAGAGGTGGCGAATGGGTGGGTGGAAGCATGTCCTGTGTGTGTCCCCCCCAGCTAATGTGACTTCCGGCCACTGTCACACCTCGGCCAAGCATGTTCTAACACCACCACCGGGCCCAGCATGCACCGCTGGCCCTGTGCCACCAGACCCTGTGCCCTACCATGGCCCCAGGGCCACCCCCGGCATGCAGGCTCCCTGGCCCCTGCCAGTGACCCGCAAAGGAGCCGAGCCTGGCTGCCCCCGCTACCTCCACACAGGAATTCAGGTGCAGCCTGGAGGGTGCCAAAAGTGAAGGGTGGGAGGGACAGAGGAGGGAATCTCCTGCTCTGGAGAGACTTGGGGACAAACCCAGTGCTGCAATCCAGCAGCACCCACTGCAAAAAACATGAGTAAGGTGCGGCAAAGGCACGGTTAGCACCTTGGCCCCTGGCTCTGGAGACCCCCTGGGGTTCCCGGCACTCACAGACCACCCTGATCCCGTGCTCTGCTGCTGCCCCAGAGCCCCCGGCACCCCCACCCCAGCCACCCTGACCCCCTGCTCCTGGCACCCCACAGCCCCCGGCACCCCCGCACCAACCACCCTGACCCCCTGCTCCTGGCACCCCACAGCCCCTGGCACCCCCGCACCAACCACCCTGACCCGCTCGGACGAGCGCCCCGCAGGCCAAGAGAG